TTCTGCATAATATCCATCATGTCTCTATTCATTTTCATCTTTGTCCTTTACTTAATTTACTTAGATTGTCCTCTACAGGACTGTGTATTTGTTTTCATTGCCAGTTTTATTATATTATTAGAATAGAATGTTCAACAATAATAACTATCCTCAGTAGGGTCTTAGTGTTAAGTGACATGGGAAGTGCCTGCTGGGTGACTCAAGGCTTGCTGAATGGACAGTCTTCATAGATAATGTGTTACAGAGAGTGAACCCTGGCAGCAAGGAAAACGGGGATATGTCAATATGTTTTCCTTGTAGATGACAGCACTTTTAGTCTCCTAAAAGTGAATTATACATATACGAACTGACCATCCCATAGAAATGCCAGAAGGGTTAGTGAGAATTTAAGGACCTGGACTGGGTTGGGGGATTTGATTTATCTATAGATGATAATGAAAAGTAGACTTCATCAACGTTACAGGTTTAGTGCCAACACACCCAATCCATTGCTTGCTTTTCTCTGAAGCACCATTTCATGGTGGGGAGAGTCACTCCAGAGTAAAATCATAATATGGGATTAACAAATTTTCATTTCTGCTGTTGCAGTTAATATTTCTTTGAAATTCTTACTCACTGCTTCACTTCATTATCTTTACAGCTTACCTTGTTGCTTTATAAAAATTAATTCTGCTGTGTATTACTTAGCATTTATTAAGCCTTTCTGCACATTTCAGAGACCAATCTTCCCAGCTACCCCTTACATGTCAAAGCTCTGAGTGATGCCCTCTCTTGTTAGTGAGGGTGATATTTCCGTTTTCTTGTGCTCCAGTACTTGGTGTGGTAGGAGCCAGTTGATTCATTTTGTAATGAGTCTTCCAGGCCTTGGGGTCACAGATAGACAGTGTAGATTCCTCTCTGTCCAGCTGCATTATAGAAATCTTTCCGCCAAGCTGTCCCTTTACCCAGTGTCTTTCAGGCACTTTGGGAGCTCTGTTTCCTTGGGATGGAAGCTGGCCATCTCCTTTCCTCCCGCTTATGCTTTGTTACTCTGAGGCCCTGTGTAATAAATAACACCAGCAATGTGCTTCAAAGTCAAGTTCTTGCTATAGGTGCTGTAGCTACAACATTGAATTTGCTGTGGCTGTAACTCCGCTGTTTTCTTTGAGTTAATTTTCAAATGGATAGATAAGGTGGTTCCCAATAGAATAACCTAATTTTTACTTACAGAATGGTAGGGGTTTCTCATTAATTAATAAACGTCTCTGATTCAGGGGCCAGATGATGAAGTGTGAGTGCACTGCTGAAATTTTCTAGGTAGAAAAAAATTATTTCATTTAACCCAAAGCACATGTAAGTACCATATATTTTTTCTCTCAATCCATTTCACTTGGAGAGGAAGAGGGAGATAGTTTGGGGAGATGTTGTGAGGTATAGACAATAGCCAAATAAATGCTTAATTAAAATATATTGGATGTTAGAAGTAAGAGTGGAGAAAAATAAAGATAGAAAGATGGAGAATTCATAATTCTTATTTCCCATTGTTTCATGGTTTAAGCCTTGTTTTATGGGAAACAAATTATTTTTATGGGAAATTGGGTGAAGCTCCGTTAAATGGAAACAGCCAGTATTGTTGCTTGAAGTCACTTTTAAATGAGAATCCAGCTATGCTTACATTTAATGGTTGAAAAACTATTTTTACTATTAATCTCTGGTGTGTGATATTTTATGAAAAATGCTATGCTCACTGCCTGGCAGAAACTATGATATATGCTTGCTTAAGCTATTTTATTTAATCCTTACCACACCTCTAAAATAAGTATTTATCCCTCTGAAGCTGAATAAAATAAGGCTTGCAGTGAATAAATAACTTGCCTGAGGGAACATAGCTAGCAAGATACCTAAACCAGGATTTGAACTGAAATTTCTTTGATCCAAAGATCGTGTTTGTAATCACTACACCTTTCCCCTTCAAGCTCTGACTAAGCTAAGCAATATGAGCAAATTAACCAATCGACTGGTCTTAATCCAAACTGTTTTCCAGAGCTTGCACATGATTTGGCCCCTGCCTATCTCTCCAACTTTATTTTAGACAACATATCCCAGGCTCTCTGCCCCAGCCCCACTGCCTTCCTTTTTGTTCCTTAGATACCACACTTTGGAGACGTTGGCATATGCTGTTTCCTTAGTCTGCCTTTTTCTCTATCCCCCTCCTCCTCTCTTTATGTGCTTGCCTCCTCCTTCTCTCCCAGGTCCTAGTTCACATATCATTTGCTTAGTCTTTTTCTGATCACTGTATACTAATATACGCAAGCTGCTCTTCCCCTGTTATTTCTCCTGTCACCTGTTACTTCTGACAGAGCATATAACCAATCTGGAATCAACCTGTTCACTTATTTCTCAGGTCTCTCCTTACAGATTCTAAGCTCTCTGAGAACAGGAATCTCCTGCCTCTTGGTCATCACACATCAAATACATATATTTATTGATCATATATGTCAAGTTCTGCTCTAACGATGTGGAAAAAAGCAATTGAATGAAATTGGATTAATGATTTTGAAACATATATATTTGTTTCTACTTGAAAACAGTGCTTTAAAATATTTTCAATGAAATGTATTTGAAAATGTCTGTGATAATTTTGAGTACTCTAAGTTTTGTTTAAACTTTGACTTACTAGCATAATCACAAACTATTAATATTACAACTTCCTGCAGTAACAGAGTTTTGCTTTGGTTTTGGCATGCCCAATGGTCTTGTTTAAATAACTTGAAAATGAATATTTTTAAATGTTTTTATTGATTTGAGATAGAGAAGAAGGAAGAGGGATAGAGATAGAAACAATGTGAGAGAAACATTGATGGGCTGCCTCCTGTATGCCCCTGGTGGCGATTGAGCCTGCAACTTGGGCATGTTGCCCTTGACTGGGAATCGAACCACTGACTTGGTTCACAGGTTGATTCTCAACCACTGTGCCACACCATCCAGGTGAAAACTGATATTATTTAATAAGAATAAAACTCTTTAGCTAATCATCTGCAATAGAATAATAGTGTTACATAATCATAACAGTTTTCAGCTAGATATGGACTTAGTACACTCTTTAGTTGCACTGAAATATTGTAGATTGGTAAGAAGACTTTTTAAAAGCTACATGAGTATATCCAGGTTCAGAAATGTGAAGAAGGGGGCTTTCTGTGGTATTAAGTCAATCCTTACTGTGCTTCTTTCACATGCCTTCCCCATCTCATTATAGTGAATACTAGTGGCCCGGGTGCATGAAGTTGTGCATGGAGGTGAAGGGGGGCTTCTTCAGCCCAGCATTCACCCTCTCCAAATGGAGACTCCTTGGAGGATATCTGCCTCTTGCACTGTGGTCCTAACTGCTCACCTGCCTGCCTGCCTGATCTCCCCTATCTGCATCTATCTGCCTGTCTGATCGCCCCTAACTCCCCTCCCCTGCTGTCCTGGTTGCCCCCAACTGCCCTCCCCTGCTGGCCTGATCTAGCCAAGTCTCTGTCTCTCTTTGTTTCTCTGCCTCCCTATTTCCCTCTTCCTTTTTCCCAGCTGGGAGGAGGGTGGATTCCACCCTCTGCCCACCCTCGCTTCCATCCAGGCCTCTTTATGCCTAGTCTGTTTTGTTTCCTCATTCTGAAAGAGGCTCTGAGAGCAAGCTGGGAAGGAGAGAAAGAAAGGAAGAAAAGGCTATGAACTGGTGGGCACTGTGTGTGCCTATGTGTGTGTGCAGTTGTGAGTGAGTGTGAGTGCTGGCTTTGCCTCCCATCCCTGTCTCCCCATCTCCACTGCCACACATCCCCACTCACCAGAGCCTGCTGCGTGTGCAGCCTGGGCATTAGGTCAAGCCTCTGGTCCTTGTGGATGTAATGAATCCAGGATTTTTATATATTTTGATTTGCTAGAAATCAAAAGTGTCAGATTATATATTAGGATTCTTATGGGAGCAATAGATTATGTATAGCATTTAATCTAAATAAATAAACTTGTATTTCAAAAAGAAAAGTATGAATATTAATCAAAGTTCACAGTTTATCTCAAATCCATAATAAATAAAACAGTAACATTCATGGGTGATTTAGCACTGAAATCATTGTATTCTATTCCATCTAAGGCAGCTGTTATACAGACACATGGCCTACAGGCTAGATAGACCCTTTGCTAGAAATCAAAAGTGTCAGATTCAGGATGAAAGAGTCATCAAGCTTAACAATGGAAACTACTACATTCAAACCTCACATTCTTATTCAGAAATCAAAAATTCTTAAAAATCAGATTTAATATAATAAACTTTGAAATTTTATGAATCAGTCTTATATGACAAAAGAATTCTTCATTCTTCAGAAATGTTTCTTGAATATATGGCTTTATTTGTAAATATAAGTTTACCCACATTTCTAAAAAACAATATTTGATTTGCCTTCATGTGTTCTTAGAAGCCAAAGATTTATTTTTTAAGAGTCAAAGAAAACAAAAGCAAATGACATTGTCTTGTTTCTATAAGGAGATGAAGAAGGGAGGTGTGTTCCATCAATGGAAATGGTGTGTCCACTAAATGTGGGCAGTGTCTGTATAAAGCATTCTAAGAAGTTAAAAAATAGTGTTGCAGCAGGAAGTGACTCTTGTAAGATCAATGCAGTTAAGACCTGTATTGTCTGTGTTATTATTCTTATAAGGCCAGCAGCAACATTAGCTCACTTAATGTCTATACAGCAGAACACAGATCTCAGTTTAGAGAAATAGGAAGTTTATCTTTTTTTTTTCTGTGAATTGGAGGAGTTTTAGGCTGAACTTCAATGCTTGTTTATAGCATTTCTCTTCAATGCTTGTTTATAGCATGGAGAAAATATTCCCAAATAACTACATGTAAGTCATTGACTCCTAGAGTCCAAGGAATTATCTTATCAAAATCTTCCTTGTAGAAATAAAGCTTTTTTTTTTTTTTTTAAAGAATTCTGGTGACTATTATAATGAGGATTTATTTGTCTTTGTGTGTGTATGTGCAGGAATACATGGACTCCAATAAATACATTGAGCATCTGCTAACTCAACTTGAGGAGAAACACAGAAGTCTCTGGAGGTGAGTTAAACCCACGTCTTCAACTTATAGCAGCCTCTATAGCTTTGGTCTTGATGCTGGAGGCAGGGAATTGGAAAATGGTGTCTTGTTCCTTTTGGTGCCAAAAGTATCACTGGGGACAAATATTACCAGAGGCTACCTAGAGAATTCTATTTCTCTAAGTAAAGTAAAGCAGCAGTGCCAAAAATTGTCTTTGAGTCAAGGACCTGCTCAGAGCTGGAAGGATGGTAGAAATTTGGACAGATATTGGTCAAGGTCAAGTTCAATGAATTAATTTATCTAAGGCCATCTGGCAACTTTATATTAGAGCCCAACGTTTCTGATATTTGCTTGCTTAAAGATTATTTAGGTTTTTCTATAATGAAAAATTAGGACACTGATTAAGATTCCTGCTTCTCTTCATATTAAAAGGGAACATTTTGAGAATGCTGTTGTATAGGTCCCAATGTTTTTGTTATTAGTGGTAGGTTCTGATTCTCAATAAGGGAAGGTATGTGACAATATTTGTGCAGGTAGGTTAGAAAATGATCAGTATCATAGAAGTCATATTTTCAATTCATTCATTCCCTGGGGCCTTTTGGGAATTGAGGCTAGCTAAGGATGTTTGTGATATTATTATCTAGGTTTTTAGGGTCCATTCAGTTATGCTGTCCACAGGTGCAGCTATGGAATTTAAATTCCTTTTTCTAAATTCCTGTAGCTCTCCTTGTCTGGAATAAATACACTGGTGCTCATTTATATGATGCCTGACACTGCACTGGAATTGTTTCACATAATTAGCTTTGATCCCAATGGTCAGTTTGCCCCTAACGTCCTCTATTTCTTATCTCCTCGAGGCAGGGAGCAGAGCCTTCTCTCTGTTCACAGAGATGGCAGGTAAATATTATATTTGCTAACCCTGTGGGTCCTTTATCCCACATCATCCAAATCCATCATCATTGGTCTCAGTATCAGGCTATGTTGCCTCTTCTTTATGCATCCTGTAACAAATCCCAATAACCTTGGCATTCTTCTTCCTGAAGAATTCGAGTTCTTGGGTAAAGTGCCTGACACTTTCATTTGTCCTGCTCATATATTAGTTTTCCTACTAGAGAAAAGATCTATGGTTATTGTAATAGTATTCTACTTATATACACAAAACTTCTGGCAGGATACCACAGAAGTGTATAATTTTTAAGTTTGCTTGCCACTAACAGGCACACCAGTTAATTTTCTGTAGCTTGATGCAATAGTTGCAAGATTTGTGTTTGAGAGTTATAACCTGGTGTTGATATAGTTTTCCTTTGTGAGCCAGTGTATTGTATTAATAAAATTAACAACAGTAATGCAATAATGGTTATGTACCTTTTAAATTACATTTTCCATAGATCTACTACAAAGTATATTTAAAAGGCTATTTAATTGAATTGTAGCACTTTCTTTCAACTACTTGAACATTTTGTTATTTTCCAAGAGAAAAATACATAAAAATGATGAATGCCCTATGACAAAGGAAATTTACAGTTTAATTTGGTCAGTAAGTGTGTCTTATAAACATCATTGGGCAAGGGTAATGATTTTATGGGTCTTTGAACCCAATACCTGCATGGAAAGAATATTTTCCTGCTTTCTCAAGGTAGCTAATAAAAAACTTCTGGTCTTCTCCAACATGATTAAGTTAAAATACCATTTCAGGCACAGAATTAAACTAACATAAAGTAATAGCTTAGGATTTTGTGTGCAGCCGCTTCCATTTTTTTCAGAAACGGAATTATTACTGGTGAAGAAGCACAGCCTTATATATAGTGGCAGAGGATCTAATAAAATGACATTTGAATAACAATAAAGGGCAATAATGGCATTTGAATAGTCAGAATAACTGCCGATGAGAAAATGGAAATGGGTTATATTGAAAAGAAAATGAAAACCAGTAATAGCAGATTTATATACTATTTATTGAATCATGGAATTATACTTGATTATATTTTGCAAATAGATCTTGACTTACTTGAAGTGAAAGGCTTTATGATATTATTACAGTGTCATAACTGCAACCATAGCTGAATTGTTTTTGTTGAAGAATATGTGAATGGCAGTGAGCAGTATGGGGAATTCTTTCAGGTTGTGATTCAATTTTTAAACTGTTTTCTTGAGTTTAGATAGATTCTGGTGTGCAGAGGATCATGCGAACAGTATGTGATGAACACAAACACAACTGGAATGTCTGAAGTTAAACAAATGTTCCCATAACTCAATAGAAAACTTTTTCTCTGACTTCATTATGTCTTTGATCTATACTTGGTTCAGTTTTCACAAAGGAGGCTACTTTTCATTGCTCCTGATTCTAAGGCCTTCCATTTATACTTGAGCTAAGGTATAACTTAAAAGAAAGGACAAATTCTGAATATTTAGTTCTTCCAACAATAATGATGGTCAGCATTAATTTATTGCCACAATCTTTGAGCATTAGCCAAAATCACAGTAGATATATTTTCTGTTATTGATACTTGCTAAATAAAGAATTTAGAGAAATTTGGGTACATGGCTTAAAAGCCTTTCATTATTGTTTTGTAGAGGGAGCTACTTGTCCTTCTTAGTTTTTAGTCATTTCTCATAGCATAACCAGTTGCTGTGACACAAATATATGTTGTAATCATACTCTCAAGATAACTAGTTATTTTGGGGTCCTGCTTAGTATTCTACTGAAATAGACCTATTAACTATCTCTGGATTTTCAAATGATAAGGAATTTGTAAAGTCCAAAGATAGCTGTCTGGCCATGAGCAGTCATTTAGCTCAACTGTCTTTTTTGACACCAACAGAAAGCCTGTGTGAATTCATCTGAATACCAGGGCAGAGTCAGAATCTATCATAGAACACAGACTAAGATTTGAGCAGGAGTCTGGGTGTGTTTGATGTGCTCTGCCCTGTCCTGCTTGATGAAAAGGACACAACCCATGGTCCCTTGCTTACTAGTTGATGTTGAAATGTGAAAATATATTTCTGCATGTTTATTTGTTTTATTGTGCAAAGTCAAGATTAGAAGGAAAAACTCATTTGCACTTAATGATTTTTATATCATCTGTTACTATTTCTGATTTGACTAAATATATCACTGACTAGGAAAGATTATAATAAAACATTGCTGAGAATGTCTTTCTCCTACATTTGAAAGAAACCTTTATCTATTTGCAGACTCAAATTGAGAGTGTAGAACAACACAAATAGTTGGAAAATACCAATCAAATTCATAAGCATTTATGATGTTAATTACTCTTTGATGTCTTATAAGTAAAATTTTGTATAAAAATGGAAATAGCATGATACTACAGCAATGCAAATAGGACTGGATTGGAGGTTTGTAAGACTTGGACTCTTGTCCTGGCCTGCCAAGCTGGCTGTCAGGTGACATTTGAGACTGAGTTTCCATATCTGTACAAGAAAGGTATTGATATAGCTAGTATTTAAGATTACAGAGCCCTGAGACTATATGAAACAATGTTTAGTGTTACATTTATATAATATGTCAGACATGTAGAATCTCATCTATACTAATAATAGACAAACATGTAAATTGACCATACCTCTGTGACACCTACAGCCAATCAGTAGTGAATATGCAAATTAACCTGGCAAAGTTAGTGGATCTGTGGGCAGCAAGCATGTGCACATGCACAGAGAGGCTCGTGGGTGGGGCAGGGCGGGATGCCTGCCTTTGTCGCCTTGGGCAGTGCGCTCCAAGTGGGTGGGCAGTGCACACAGATGCAGAGCAGCCAGTGGGTGGAGAGCCTCTGGGCAGGAGTTTGTGGATCTGCACAGCAACAGGCCTCCAGTGCATGCATCCTTTCTTCCCCTGCTGGTGTGTGAATGTTCCCCAGCACACTGTCACCCAGGTGCACCTGTGCACCTACAATAGTCCCAGACAATGGTGTGTGCAAGTTCCCCCCTCCACTGCACTTCCATCAACCCTAGCATGTTCATATCCCACAGGATGTGAACACGTACCCTCCAGCATGCTCATGTCCTTTGGAGAGTGTCTGGATGTTTTAGGTGCTGAAGGTGGGCGCCTGTGAGATGACATATGAGGACTAAGTGATGATGTCCTGTTCCCACGGAGGCCAGTGCAGCGATGAAATCACTTCCTTGGGGCTAATGCAGGTGCTGAGGTGAGAGCAGATGGGGACAGACATACCTGGTGGGCATGGGCAGCCCTCCTGAGGTGCCTTCTGTCAGTATTCAAGGTTGGGAACCAGAGGAGGTGAGGAGTTCAGTCTTCTCAGTGAAACAGTGGGATAGTCGGGGCGACTGCAGAGGAGGAATGTGCACTTTGGGTGCTGGCCCCCATGAGCGAAGGCTTCCCTGACTGAGCCTCGCTCACTTGGAGCCTAGTGCACTCCTGCTGGGCAGCAGGTGACAAAATGTACTTTTCTGAGTTGATGCAAGAAAACATTGATTCTCCTGCTGCTCATAAAGTTGGAAAGTGGAATGGGGAAACGTGGAGAGTGAGCGAGGTTCCCAGTCTGGGGGTTCCAAATCTATTGTTGGTTCCTTTCATGTTGACCTGAGATATACAGGGTGTCCCCCCAAAAATGTATACACAGTTTGAATATCTGCTAATTCCAAAGTGTTTAAGCATGAAAAGAAAGAAACAACAATGGAGCTGTCTTCTGTTAAAAGTGTGGGCACAAACCTGCAGTTGGACATTCCCCAAGAGGTCCCTGATTGGAGAGGGTGCAGGCCAGACTGAGGGGTCCCCTTCCCCCTTTGTGCATGAATTCCATGCACTGTGCCTCTAAGTTTTCTATAATACTTGAATAATGCAGCATGATCAACCTGTATTATATAGATCCTATATTATATATGTAATTAAAGCCTAATATGTTAAGTGCCCGGTTATCTGGATATCCATTCAACCAAAGCATAATTTGCTAATGATATGCTAAGGCTGCTCAACTCTCTTTATGACTAGTACACTGACCACCAGGGGCAGACAGTTGACCAGTGAGCCAGTTGCTATGATG